GGTGGCCTATGCTCCTTTAGGAGTAACAGGCGTAACTAAGTAAATAATCAAGTAATATAACAGATAGCAATCAAATAACTGATTAACTTTATTTTCAAACAGAATACATGAAAAACATTCTTCCTTCAATCATTAATTCGTTTTTTTTTATTTTTATGTTTCTCAACTTTATCGTTAATTTTTGTATTTTTTTTTGTCTAGAAAAAAGATTTTTTCCTTTTTCTAGTAAAGAAAAAAATCCACGTTCCCATTTTCACCATGCAAATAAAAGGAACATTACAACGATACTTTTTTTTAATTTTAAAATATTCACATTACTATTATTCCTCTATAAACCATACAATCAATCTGTCACATAGTTACACATTCATTTTCGCTAGAACAATCATTCATTAGAAAAAAAAACAACTTATGTATATCAATTTTGTTTCTATCCACCAAATTTGGATAAGAAAAAAAGAAAAAAAAATAGAAGAGAACCTGAAAAAAACCAAGTCAATTAATCTATAATCAATTAACAAGAGTGTTTGAAAAGAAAAAAAATGAAAAAAATTGATTCATCTGGTTTTCTCTTATTTTTTTGTTTTTTTTCTTTGTTTTTTTTCTTTTTGGTTGTATTGATGAATCATTTTGTTGAATATATAAGTCTGACTTCATGTAATTTTTGGAGGAAATAAAAATGATTAGAATTTTTATTAGGTACACAAGAAATATAAAAAAGCTAACAAGTATTTTATTGAATTATAGATGGATAGTGGCTAGCAGTGAAATCCAGGAAGTACGTTTTGTCCCATTTGGGACTTGTCAACTGGATCTACCTGCATCTCAGAGTGTTATATCCCGTGGAGATTTATGAATGGTAACTTTGAGAACTGTTTATGAACCAATATGATATGTATATTTCCTATTGTATAATTTTTAAGTAACTTAACTATTCATATTCATGTTCCCCTTATTAGAAGCTTTTATTTGATCTATAGACTATTATTATACGATTTACCATTATTGAGTTGTACCTAGTCCATTAGTTACTATTCCCCCTATTCACAGCCATATTTGGCTAAACCTTGAACAAATGTTATTTTCTATTTTATGGTACGTTCTGTGTGTTTGGTAATATAAACCCAGTATGTTTGAAATATAATGATTCATATTTCAGAGGCTGTTATTGGTGTTCTGGACTAAACTGGCTGGGCTAGGCAGAAAGCAGAACTAATAAGTACTCTAGACTGCTCATTCGGTTTTCTTGTATCATTGGGCGATCAATAAGTTCACTCGTCTTTCATTGACTGGAATTACCACATCATATATAAACAGGGCACACACTTACGTATTCAATCAATATAACATAGAGAGACAGATCAATTGCAGTCTTAAAAATCAACGGGAAGATTCAAACAAACAATACCAATTGAATTCAAATTTCACCCCATTGCACAAGCAAGTGGCTATCAGGACTCAGAAGCTGAGTATATAACGTGATGGCGTCTGAAGCGAAAGGTGCTGGGTTCGAGTCCCAGAGTGAACATCAACTCCGAGATGCAGGTACATCCAGTTGACGAGTCCCAAATAGGACGAAATGTGCGTCCTGGATTCCACTGCTAGCCACTATCCATATTTGATTATAATGTTTGTGAATTAAGGCTATACCGAAGCAATACGCACAATATACACATATGCCAATAAGAGACTGATCAATTGCAGTCCTGGAAATCAATGGGAAGATTCAAACAAATAATACCGAGTGAATTCAATTATTTTTTTGTTTGTAGTGTAATACCTTGATTTCGATGTAAATAAAAATTTCTATAGAAATTTGTTCCGTTTATATAGTACATCTGCTTCATGAAGCAAGAGCGAACTTGAAATCCTGAAAGGAAACGAAAAAAAGAGGGATCAAAGAACATACTACTTTGGGAATTTGAAGCAGATATGGACAGTACAAATAGCAACTGGAAACAACTAGGAAAAATTGCCCAGGATAAAGTTGGATAGAGAATGGTGGTGGGTGGTATATGCTCCTCCACGAAGGTTAATAGGCGTAAGTAAGTATATAGTACATTCTTGTTTGAAGATATATAGAAATACTGCTTATAGCAAAATAGATATCTACACTTTCATGACTTTTTTTCAAGTAATCATTAATTACTGGGGTTGACCATGAGATATAATTGATTAAACTTGCAATGGAATTTGTAAATCCCACGCTATGGACTTTCAATTTTGATTATGCAGTTTTTTCAATATTACATCCTTATTAAATGTTAGTCCATCGTATTGTACTTAATAAGTTATAGGCTTATTTATCTATTGTCATTTTTCTATCTTTGAGATTCTTTCACATAAACTCTTCTGAACAATCACCCTGAAGACGAATTACCTTCAAGGTTGATGCAAATATACTAAAGGCTGAAAGTAACATATTAAAGACATCATTTGTACAAAGTATCTATAAAAATAAATAAACACGAACATTTATAATACTGAATCATCCAGGTATGTGTTAGGTTACGAGGAAAGGTCAGTCAATCAGTCACAACGTAGAACTTCTTACATACGTACATCAGTTCGAGTTGCCATAACACATTAGCACAGAAATGCAGTTGTCGATTCAAATCCCATAGTGGTAGAAGGAGTAAGAGTATAAGCATTATGTGAAAGATTAGGGTTTGAAGATGTTATTTGAAGAGTATAATCCAGTGAAATAAGTTTGGAAAGAAAAAAATAGAGACATGAAGAATTCAGAAGATTAGAATTTAGTAGAACACAAAGAGTGGATGCACCTTCGCCATTGAAAACGATTTCGGGCCATGTCATTCAAGGTCTCTAACCATCGATTGCTATCATCTCGTGGATCCCAACCAGGTAGTCTACACCTACCAACATGGCTCAGTCCACTTGTCAGTGACTTCATGAATTTGTGCCACGTTTTGGACTGACCGCCTCTAGCTTTCTTCCAACCTACTCCTACACCATAAAACATTGCACGTCGGGGCAGTCGGTGGTTGGGCATACGTAACAGGTGTCCCAGACATCTCAACTGATGAAGTTTCACTATTTCATCAATCGATTTGCCATCCTTACCTAATACCTGCTTCCTGACGACTGTATTACTTACTCAGTGGTCCCAGGATATACGAGCAATGAGTCGAAGACACCTATGATCTAATACTAGTAGCCTACGAATATCCTCTACTCTTGTCGGTAATGGGTTACGAGGAAAAACTTTTCTATGAATACTTTCCTAAACTAATATGTTATTATTTCTTACTTTTGCTTCCTGTTAAATGTTCATCTCGATATAATTATCAATGAAGTATTCAACTTTGACTTCATGATAATAATTATGATGAAATATACTCAATAATAATATTTCCTGTAGATAATGATTTCCGTCATTAATTAATATCAACTAGAGATGGTATGAACAGATCAGATAATCATAAACAGTTGTTTAGCATTATATTGAGACTCTTCAATGGTTAATATAAACACAGCATCAAATTTATGACCCTTAAGTGTTTTTTGATGTGCACCATGTGATTCAATCAATAGATGACTTGAAATATTACCAAACATGATCTTTAAAAACATTCCTTTGATTTCTAAATATCTTCACTGCCTAATTATTTGAATAAATATATCAATAACATCTAGTCTACGATTTACTGAGGAAAATTCGGCCAAGGTGATTTAATTCGCCCTGTAGTTTTTCCCTAAATTATACAATTTATTAAATTGTGCTTCATTGTATGACTTCATTTTTAAAAAAAGATTAAGATAGTGTAATAAGAAGACGAAGATTATCAGAACTATATGACGATATATTAGCGCAATACATTTCGAACAATCTGATCACACACATTTTGTATAGTTGAAATCATGAGTCAATTGAAGCTAGAACACCATGGAAAACCTTGAAGCACTGAACGGCTGTTTCGTATTGAGAAGAATGACCAACAACTGGATAGAACTAAAAAGGAAGGCCAAGGACAGAGTGGGCTGGAAAATGCTGGTCGGCGGCCTATGCTTCATTGAGGGGGGGGGGTAACAGGCGTAAGTAAGTAATTTGAAAGAAAATATTAAGGTACATAGTGAATCCTTTGTTCGCATTATCAGTATAGTTATGGATAAACATTCAAAATCTTGCAAATTACTGGCCGTTATTGATTTACCAGAAATCAACAATCCACTCCATTCTGAAATTATCCTTTGTATATCTTCTAGTAGAATGAGACACTTGAATTGTACATTATTTTTGTAACAATGTATTAAGCACATGCATTTTGTAATAAACAGATTGTATAAGCTGACTTAATCAAACACTTATACTTCTAAACATATAATTAATTCTCTATGGTATATATATTGTAACGTTTACGAACACCAACTGATGTGATGCCTGATGCTTATATCGATATAAGTAGTATATGATGCTAGTCAGGAGTAGAATGTCTGGCAGCAAAAGGTCAAGATGATTGAGGAGGAAAGAACAAAAACAGAAATCAATTGGTATGGAAATACAGGAACAATGAAGTCTGAGACGAGTGACTGATATTTACAAAAGGGACTGTTGGGGTGATCCAGAAAAATTCCTCGCAATAGACATGATAAGCCAGGAAACATTGAGAAGCATTTTATCCAATCAGAGTTTGACTAGAAGTTTTGCTAGAAGTATCACGAAAATAAAAGGTCACATGTAGAGGTTCACTGTATAGATTTAGTTTGGCGGTTACCAGACAAGCTTAGGATCCGAGTATAGCGTTCAATTAGCAAGACTTATCAAGAATAGTCATGTTTGAGACAATTGATTGATATCTTACAAATGAAGTATTAACTGTATGATTCTCAGATTTTACTAAAATCTTTAGTAATTTTGTGTTGAAATGCATTCTATTGTCCCTACTTTTGTTTTCGTTCATTATACTGGTACTTTTTCCAAAATTGTATCCTCAGAACTGCATACTATACTCCAATTATAATACGGAATGAAGTCATTATTATGATTATTATCTTTTATTTAAAATAAACATAACAATGCAGTATATCCTAAATTTTCTTCCAAACAACATCATATTGATGTATACATGAATGAATTTTGTCAGTAAATGACCATATCTGTATATATATATATATATATTAATAAGTCATTTCGTACAAATCAGTAACTGATCCAAAGCTAAGAATATCCAGTGTTAGCATAAAACAAGACCGATGCACATCATTGTAATCCCAAGATAAAGATTAATTTATTTTAATGATTATAAGAGTAACGGTATGTTTTCTTTCTTTTTTTTTAGAGGTAGGACAAAATAATAACATATAGATCATTCAGTTAAAAAACTACTGATATTATCAGTAGTATATTATCAACAATTAGTGTACTCAATAAATGAGAAAAGAATTTAAACAAAACTGTTGCATATAGTTAGAATAATCAAAGAATAATCTGAATATAGTAGTAAATAGGGATAATAATAATAATAATAGTACTAGTAATAATAGTAATAGTAATAATAATAATAATGCAGTTTCATAGCCCATTCAATAAAATATACAAACTGTCAGTTAATCTCTTTGTTATAAACCTTGAAAATCGGACTATATATATATAGATTGTATGAAAGAACGAAATGGATTAGAATGAAAACATACAAAGAAAATTTATAGTCAAACACATCATACTACTACTTTTTTAAAGATTAATAAATAACTACTAATTTAAATAAGTATATAAGTAGTATATAAATTTTTTTAAACATTTCTAGGAGTAATAATAACATCTGGATCACCTTTTAATGTTAATTTTTTATAATGATACCTAGATGATAATGAGGATTGTTGATTTTTATAATGAAAATGATTGTTTCTATGATGATCTCTAAGATTAGTTGATTTTAATGAGTATTTGATGATAGGTTGAAGATTACGTTTATTCAATTTACGAGGATAATATTTTGTTTCATTTAAATGAGTTGTATTAGTTAAACGTGTAGCAATTGAGACACCTTTTGTACCACGACCACGGAATATTAAATTTGGATGTGATTTTGCACGTTCAATATCAATACAATGTTGTCCATCATACATTAATTGATAACCAGGTACACATTGACAAGTGAAACTACCAGGTGTATTTTCACATATTCCATAATCTGGATCACATGGTCTAAGGCGTACACATTCATTAATGTCTAGCTCACATTGTATACCTTCATAGCCACGTGTACATTCACATAGATTACCAGGTCGACAAATACCACCATTTTCACAGGGTGGATTGCATGATACATTGTCTTCTTTCTAAAGGAGCAAAAGAAAAAGCAGATATATCGTTAATAACTAAAATGTGTGAATGCTAAGCAAATGAAGTAAAAATAGTGATACTTTTTAGAAATATTTAGTATACGGCTATTAGTACAGCAGTGTGGTCTACTTATATCCATATAAGCAGTATATGGTGATGGTCAGACATAGAATGTATTTTGGCAGAAGACCGATAAGGAAAAAAAGTGAAATGAAGCGCAATTGGTGAGAAAATGCATGATCAATGGAATTAGAGATGATGGACTGATATTTACAGAAGGAACAGTGAATATTGAGACAATTAGTTGTTAATTTGCAAACTAACTGTTCATTGTATGGTTGTCAGAATTTAGTGACATAGTCTACAATTTTTGCCTAAACACATTGGTGTTCCTGTTTACTACAGTACCTCTGTGGATAATGCAGTGGAACGTGAGAAAAAAGATGTTAGTATACTAATCTTAGTAGGGTATATCAACACAAAGACGCAGGTAAATCCAGCTGACAAGTTCAAAACATTACAAAATAGCAGTTCTTTATCCGATCGCTAGTGACTAAACACCCTTATTAACAAAGTCAATATTTAAACATACAAGATTATGAATACTTAAATTATAAACTGTTTTATCTCCATCTAAACTATTATATATGTAAGGAATTATCAAGTGACCATGAAATACTACTTAAACCATACAAGCATTGTGTGCTCACTGGTTCTAGTTGGCAGTTGCAACTAAAAGAGCTTAATGATAGCAGCATTGAGACAGATAACTTCATTTCCAATAAATGATCATCACACTACGTCAGGCATATGTAATGATACAGTAGTAGTCTAATGGTTATGTGGTCATAGAAAAAAACTGAATATATAGTAGGTTCAATCTCATATAACTGTTCAGTGATTTCTGGTTCCATCTACTTTTTCCAGTTTACATCAGATCAATCATATAAGCTTTTTTTAGGTATAATTAAACAAATATCCACAAACTAAACTAGAGTATGACAATAAAGTTGATATGTAGCTTCGAACACTGAAATATTAAAATATTTAATTTCCAGCGTTGGTTTCCCTTATTCCAGATCATACCTTCTTTAGAACTTGATTTTAGTCTTAATTATACACTTTTTGTTAGAGCCACTTAAACAACATTTTTACAATAAATATTATTAGGGATGCGCACTGCTGAGGAGTCCCACAATAGGACGAAACGGCCGTCCAGTGATTCCAAGTTTTCTATAGTGGTCTAGCTTCAATTAATTTATGATTTCAACTATATAAAAAATTAATAAGATCTCCACAACCCCCCTTCCTCCAAATCATATTCTATAATTACTAGTGTAAATGAAGGGAATGTTAAAAGAACAACTAAATTCTTGGCAAAGATTAGTTCACTAAATAGCTGCTATTCACTAGTTAGTTACATTATTGATGCATATTAAGATAAATTCTAATATGATAAATAACTAGAGTCTCCTGATTTTATCAAATATCTAACCAGTTTCTTAGGCAATCTCTTTTTAACTTTAATATACAGTATTTTCATTTTGATTATTTTCACTTGAATGTACATAATTGTTATTTTTGTAAAGATTTCATTGACTATCATTAATTAGCCGAACTATGTGTTTGTAAGCTCAAAGAAATGTCACTGAGCTCTAGTCAAATGATCCGACAATTAGGTTACTGAATATCGAACAGATCATTGATCCCTGTCAAGATCAAGGACAATCAACGCGCATCAGTTAATCTTATGCCATAGACTGATTCATGCGATGGTGGTCTCAAAATCTTCTCTGTGCTCGTGTTTACTGATGAATTTCTGTAATAACGTCTTTTGTGTTATAAGGTCTTCAAAGTATCGGCAGTACCTTGATACACATTAGGTGCTAACAGCGAGGTATGACATCGAAGTTAACTTTTAGCCACACCATTCCTGTATAACTTGAGTAGGCCCCGAATCATTCGACACAGATCGTCTACGTTCTATCTTTGGTAAAAAAAATAATCTTGAGGAATATCTGTAAAATTTTAATACAATTTTGTAAATGTAAACCTCTGTGAAGTCCGATACAAGGTTGTAATAAACATTTAATGGTACCTACTTTTAAAAATTTATTCAACGGATTAGATTATTTTAAGAGTGTACAATACTTTCATGTCTAAACATTATTTAAGAACATTATGGTGTTTACTAATCACTAACTTTGAGATGAATTTTCTGTAGTTCCATTGACATGTTATGACCTATGAAGTAAATCATATGGAGAACAGGGTATTTTATAAGCATTGATTTTTCATGAAAGTCGTGCTATATCACAAACTATTGAAAACTGAAAATTCGATCAACCGATTTCAGATCATTATTATACAGCCTTCACATTAACCACGATGTCGAACTGTTCGACGTTAGCTTTTGCTTATTGACAGATATATTTTTTAAAAACATCCTAATGATTAGAAAAATTAGATTTTCTGACGTTTTGTGACTCAGTGTAAGCCACTTCTTCAGAGAATAAGCAACCAAATAACTAAAGAATAATTTTGATTTGATTGTTTATTGTCCTACACTGAGTCACGAAACATCAGAAAATCTAATTTTTCTACTGATTGGATAGGTACAGACTTCCTGGTTAGGGTCATTACGGTCGTCATAGCCAATTATAGGATACGTTAAGTGACATGGGTCATATCAGTAGCAGTGGCATAGATCTTTTGTGGCCCACTGATCTGATTGCGATTTGGATGAACATATTAGTATACCGTGAATATGAATCTTCCATCCAACTCCGTATATTACACCTAGGCTAATCACCACAGTAATAAGACGCAGTATATGGATTTAGTCGTATGAATTTATTTCAAACACACGTTTATTCAGACAGGCAATCAGGGGAACGGGGCGGAGAAGCAGAACGGAAAAGGAAAACCTCTCAATTCATTTTGACAAAACGTGACTCAATATTTATAATCAGACAAAAATAAACTATTATATGATGAACATTGTAAGAGATGTACACACACATGAGCTCATATAAAAACAGTAAAGTTTAATAAGCAAATAATTGATAAGCTCAAAATAAGACTCATGATGATAAATTAACTAGTCTGTCTAGAAACTAGAATAACCCATGTGTACTTGGCATAGCAGTAGACACTACAGATGCATTCACTCTTTGTCTAGCCTGAAATCTTTAGTTTTAGAATAATCTAATGCGTTTTATTCCATAAATTTAATCTTTCTTCTCGAATCATGTTGTTTATGCTAAATTTTCCCTACTGCTACTAGCACTGTCACTATTTCTAGCATCCTTCTATTTTTCTTGATAATTTTGTCGCACTGTGCTGATGTTGTATGGGAGCTTAACTCGATGGAGACATGTGCCAGGTGCCTCATTATTTATGAATAACTAGCCGATACGTGGGAATTTCGTCAGTATAAATTAACATATGAAAAAATTGTTTGAATGCTATTTTCTTGATTTGTCTCAATATCCATATTTACATTATACCTACCAATTTTTTCTATTTCATTACCTCTGGCCTACTACTCACTGTTTTTGATTGTTGTGATCTTTTTCATCCTATTTAATGTTCAGAACAATCATGAATAAATATAGGATCAAGAATCAGATCAAAGGGAGATGCAACCAAAATAAAAAGGTAGACAATGTTCGACTAAAGGTCAGCAATAATCAATCAACATCAAGGTTGACAAGTTGTAAGTCATATATGGAGAAATTGTGATACCTCTCTTCTACCTGAAGTTTGTTCTAATTATTGTTCTTCAAAATAAAACTAAATGCTACATCCTGATCGGAGAACGACACTCTATGAAAATGATTTTCTGGCTATTTTATTGTGTTTCACTACGTTCAACTGAAATTAAATATTCATTACTGACATTTTTATGTATTGTCTTGAATCATCTTCATTATGTATGAAAATTTAGATCTTTCTTCTATACAAAATTGAGACAATAGTTTATGTTAGAAAAGTGATATAATCCAACGTGAGTTTCTTTTTATAACACATTGTAGTGAACAGAACAGCGATTGGGGACAATTGAATGTATTTAAGCACAAATTACAGATTATCATACTCAATTCTGATAATCATACAGCAAACAATTAATTTGTAAAATAACAATCAATTGTCTCAATCTTAACTGTTCCTTCTGTAGATATCAGTCCATCTTCTCTAATTCCATTGTTCATGCATTTTCTCACCAATTACGCTTCATTTCAATTCTTTCCTTATCGGTCCTCTGCCAAAATACATTCTATGTCTGACCATCACCATATACTACTGATGTGGATATAAGTAGACCACATTACAATATCACTGTTATGTACAATAATATTTTGTAAATATTCTTACTGTAAAAATAAAAACTAGTAATTTGAGTGGTTAGTTTAACTTGGATTATGCTTTGATCTGATATTTAAATTCATTTGGGTTTGCAAGTTGTATGTATTTTTTCGATTATCACACAGAAGTTTACGGCATGATCAGAGCCTAGTATTAAAGTTCAGATGTATTTGATTGATTAAGACAACGGGACAAAAATAAAGTTATTTTTTTAACCATGTAAAATGAGAGTAGAGATTTAAAAAGTTCCGAAAGAAACGTACGTAATTATTGTCAGAATGGGTTTGTGGAGATTGTATTAACTTAATAGTTGGATTCATGAGCCAATATATGCTAGACAACCATGAAAAACCTGGAACACTGGTAGGCCATTTTGTTCTAGTATGGGACTCCTCAGTAGTGCGCATCCACTAACGGATTCAAACAGAGGACCTGCGGTTTCGCATGAAGACGTTTAACTTTTGGACCACTGAGTCGGGATCCAACAGTGTTAATGTCCAAATATCTACCTCAAACAATGGATGAATGGACGTGCAGTCATTCATGGATCGATGGAAGCAAGACATTAACATCATGGGATGCCGGCGCACTGGTCTAGAGGTTAAGAGTTCCCGCACGTGACCGTAGG